GTTTGGTGTTTGTCAAACATGCTGCAATGCGTCATGGCCACACATGTCCACTTTGTCTCATCTAAATCTAAATCTAAAGGACTTTGTTCCAGAAGTCTTGTGGTTTGTTCAGATACAACTTTGCAAACCTAAGCCACGCTGTCATGCTCTTTTTAGAGAGAGGAGCTTTTCTCTTGGTAACCCTTAAACAAGCCACACTCGGTCCTTCTTTTTCTAAATGAACTGACATGAACTTTAATATTTAACATGATAACTGAGGCCTGTAGAGATGTAGCTTTCAACTTTACAATCGGGGTGAATTTGCTGGGACATCCACTCCTGGGCTGATTGGCAGCTGTCTTAAATGCTTTTCGCTTGTAATGATCTTTCTCACTGTAGAATTATATTTATCTTATAATAATCTTACAACCCTTCCCAAACTGATGGACATCAACATCTTTCTTTCGCATTGGGGTAACAAACGGCTGAATGCGCGAGACCGGTATATTGCCAAAACTTTAGTTTTATTGAGGCACTCACACTCGCTGATGATCAGTTAATAAAGTGCTTTTGTTTAACAGCACCTGGCTGCTGTTTACCCTCTAAATTTCTATGGAAATAGTCAGGGTGTACTTAGTTTTTCACCAACTGCTTCTGCATTTTAGCTTAATTTTGTTAAATAAATAAAGACATTAGATAATATGTCATGTTTTATACTTAATCTGAGACTGGATTTATTTCATTTCAGGACCCGCTGAAGACCAGATTATTTTTATTATGTCCTGATATGTAAAATTGTAGAATCCAAACAGAGTGTACTTTGTTTTTTTTGATGACTGTATTATAATAAAAACACTTTGATTCTTTGGTTTACTAACCAGCTAGTATGACAAAACTAGCTGGTTAATAGCTGGTTACTACAGTCTAACATATTATCGGTTACCAGTTTATTTATTGGAAATAGCCAATAAATAACTTTAAGATAAAGCAGTTTTAAGGTTTGAATTTTACTGGTGGTATCTAACATGATGAAGTATGCTTTATTATTTGGATCCATTTGTGGAGGCCCAGGTTTAAGAGCCTATCAGCAGAGTTCTCAGATATGAAATCCAAGGTATTACTGTGGGTAGTTTTACTCTTTTCGTCTTGAATACATTAGACCAGGTGTGACAATTATGCTATTTTTATCCCATTTGACATTTCCAGTACTGTATTTTATGTCCGAAAGTGCTGCAGAGAATTACAGGAATTCAACCAATGTAGAGTCTACTTGCATGCAGTTCCCAAACAAACTACTAGGATATGTCAGATGCTGAGTGTTTGAAATGCTGCCTTCAACTGGAAGGAAGACACAGAGGAAAACAAAACTGGACTTTTCCTTCTCCACTGTTAAATCTCCATTAAAGCTAAAGCATTAACGCAAACATGAATGAGAATAGCCTACATGAGTTGTTCCAAATGTTTTTGCATTCATGTGGTGACACACAGGAAGAACATGTGCATCCGCAAAAGCTCTGCGCAGCACCAACCCAGAACTAATGCAGTACCAGCCCCTTAATCCACTGTCAGAAATAAGCACTTGAGCTCCCCTCTCATCAATGCCTCGCTCACCAAAAAGCACACTTTTCTTCTTCAGCGCCCAGCATCTGTGAGCTGTAGTGTCTGCACTTCTGTAGGTGTTCGTAATTTGAAGGTACTTTTTACTTACCTAATGCACTACGATGAAGAATACCTTGCTATCTCTGTCTTTCTTTTTCCTTTGGTTCACAAACCTAAAGCCCACAGTTGGGCCTTCTCACTTTTTCCAACTACTTATGCTGTTCCGGTGAAAAGCAGCATTTCTGATTCAAATCCACTGAGGTAAAAGACACTGGTGTGATGAGACGGAAGTTTGTTTGTTTTTTCCTTTTTTGTGCGCCTGCTATTAGCACCAGAACCAGTTTAAAGTAGGGGGTAAGTAGGGGGAGGTGAATCAAGAAGACATTGAGCCCGAGTCTTCAACGTCTGTGGACTCATACTCATCAGCGGATTCAGTCAGGGCAGGGTAGGGATGAGGCTGGTCAAGGTTGACGTAGGTGACATTCAGACTGATGTAGTGCTCTCCTTCCAGGCCAGACAGTATGGTGGAGACAGCTGACACCAGTGTAGCAAAGCTGGGCCTCAACTCTGGATCTGGGTCCCAGCACTGGAGCATAATGCTATACCTGGGGAAAAAATACAGGCACAATTAAAATGCTGTATAAGGAATTAGACATTTTCACGTAAATTTTACCAGGCCCTGAAAATTTTCAGACTTACAGCAGACTCACACAGAAACACTGTGTATGTGTTGCTGCAGCTGGTTAATCCTCTCCTGATGACTACGTGGCATGTAGGAACGATTTTGATTGGCATGCGTGTCATACACTAAGTTTTATTGAACCAGGGTTTACAGGGCCGTGAAGCACAACAATTTGAGAAGATGGCATAGATTTGTATGCTGAGAGTTGGATAATGAGACGGATAGCTCTCCTGTGTCTGAACACTAAGCATATATCTGTACCCGGCAGCTCATTAGCACAAAGACTAGAGCGAGTGAAACAGCTTGCCAGGCTGTGTACAGCTGTGAGACAATCCAGCGCCTAGGAAGCTCACATAGGCAACCAGATGAGATCCCAAGAGGTTCTTGGTTCGAGCTGGCAAAAAATATTTAGAAAATATTTAATTAATGACATGTGAATTTTGTTACATTTGGGTCAAGCCAGGTTAGGTTTGTTTCACCATTCCCAGAAGTGAATGGACCACCAAGAAAGTGATTATATAATTAAAAAGTATTGTTCCTCTGATTTGCTCTGATCTAGGTGGTCCAGGTGACTTCCTTCCATGAGTCCTCAGACCATGTTGAATGTGTTGCCAGGCCTCAGTGGACACGAGGCATGCATGGTTACTCTTTAGTTGTTGAGCAAGAGATCGCCACCTAAGCAGTTTAGCATTAAAAGGCAAAAGTACGGTCACACTAGAGTGTGTGTGGGGGGGGGATTGTCAGTTGTGTGTTAGTGTATCTGTGTGAGTGTGAAACACATAAACATTAACTCCAAGACAGGGTTGCATAACCATGTTAAAATACAAAGTAGTGGAGAATTCACAGGTATCACTCCACTTGAACATCTTGTCATTATTATCTGGACTTTGAGTCATGATTTTTTTTTTTTGTTCTCTTTTACCCTGCAGCTGTTAATTTGTACCAGAACTACTTAAGCATTGGTAGGATCCACATCAACACTTACACATATACAACAGTGTATTTTTGCAATAACTACTTACAAAGGGTCAGGGCAGTACTGTGGCTGAGGAAGCCTCCTGCCCTTCAGTAAATAGTGCGTTATATCGTATGGGTCCACCTCTGGGTAGGGGCTGGCTCCTCTGGTCAGCATTTCCCACATCAGAACACCAAAGGACCACTGTATCCAAAGACACAAAAAATATACATCAAGTATCAGCAAATGTGCATAAAACACTCAAATACAACGTTTTAATGCAAACAGTGTAATGGAAATCAAATCAAATACATTTTAAATGCAACTTTACTGCAGTAAATCTTTGTATGCGTACCACGTCTGACTTGGAGGTAAATTTTTGTGTTTGCAGACTCTCGATGGCCATCCACTTGACAGGCAGTTTAGCCTTCCTGTGGTCCTGAACACTGTAATATTCCTTATCGAAAACATCTCTGGCCATGCCAAAGTCCGCCACCTTCACCGTGTACGACTCATCCAGCCTGAAGAAAGGAAAAGCCAACTGAAGGATTCTCTCAAAACCAAATGCTTTAAGTCTAACAGAGACACTGAAACATTTGCTAAATTCTCTGCATGTCTTGGAAACTCACATGCAGTTGCGTGCAGCGAGATCTCTGTGCACAAACTTCTTCTGGGCCAAATACTCCATCCCCTTGGCAACTTGCAGCCCAAAGCCAATCAGATCCTTTACAGTGGGGTTCTAAAGAAATCCCACGAACACACAACAAGACACACCTCATTAAACAAAAGGAAATGATAGTTCATTAGGTATTTAACACATGGTTCCTCATAAACGAGGTAAAGAATTTCCAATATTTTAATATAGTTATCACACCCTCTTCTCGCAGCGTATGAAATGCCGCAAGTCCCCGTGTTTCATGTATGGCAGAACCACAAGAGGGAGCCCTTCCTGTGGCAGGAGGATGCCCAACAGAGAAAGCACGTTGCTGTGATGGAAGCCCTTCATTATGATGCCTTCCTTCAGAAACTGCTCCACCTCTTCCACATCTGTTATTCCTGATGACACACACATGTAGTGAGTCTTTTCTGATGGCCTCTGAGAAGACAGTGGAATTACAGAGAGAACTTCTTCTGAAAGGTACTCATAGGACATCACAGATACTCTTAGCACTTTGTTCCACAGCAGAGACACTCGGGTTCTTTCGTAAAACATATAAATCAAACCTCAAGAAGCAGAAGTTACTCAACTATTCAAAGACTTGACAGCACAGTGGATTTCTCTGTTGTTGGAGTCTGTGAAGTAGCCGTGATAGACGGTTCCAAAATGACCTGCAACAAAAATGAGAGACATAATTACAGAGTTGTTTCAAAATATTATGTAATGCTTGGCTTCCATAGCAAGTTTTTTCACGTGCACAAGTCCTTACCTTTTCCGATAATCCGATGTTTCTGGACAACTAGCATCTCGGCAGGAATAAGAACATCTTTCACCTCTTCCAGCAGCTCTGGCCTAAAACTGGTGATAGGGATCTTTTCTGTAGGAAGGAGGGGAGTGAGGGTCGGATCTATGCGACCTCCAGCATAGGTCAGGCTGGGGAATGCTACCGGCCCCACCAAAGGGGTGGGAGGACTTAGCGATACTACTAGTAAAAGTTCACAGAGAAAGAAAAAGAGAGGCAAGAAGTTATTAAGTTTATGAAGGTGTCTTTGTCAAAGGAAAATCAGCAATAATTAGAGTAAAGAATATTATAGATGTGCTTAGATAGCCACCTCTTCTGTAGTCTCCAACAGGTGACATCTCCACATTATTTGTACCACAGCGGTTGGCGCTGTGGGTTAAACGTGACTCTACCATGGAGGCTGAAAAACATTTCACAATCGTGTTCAATCATCAACCCTAACAGCGGAACACATTTACATCCTATACAAAACCTGAGATGTTCTGCTTGAAAGACTTTAGTAATTCATCACACTGACACCCGCTAGCAGTTGTATAAACATGACTCGTCAAGGTCCACACATGAAAGCGGCGCTAACCTTTCTTCTTCTTCCTTAAGTGTTTCATGACAACAAAGGCCAGCACCGCCCCGGCAACCAGAGCTGCCAGGATCCCCAAAACGATCCCCACCATGTAATGGTTGCTGACCCTCACCACTGTGCCAACGTTGTGAACCTGTCCGTTGATGGAGATCTAAGAAAATAAAGTCCATAAATCACAAGTTTAGTATTTCTGTAGATCTGGAGTAAACCATTCATTTATGTAAAAGTTTTTGCCACATATGCTCTAATCAATGTTAGTTAGTAAAGATCTAATTTTGTATGAGCTCAGCTGTAAAAAAAAAAAAAAAAAAAATTAATAATAATATTAATTTGTATGTTAAGTGTTGATTTTATGGTGGATGGCTCAACACTTTAAACAAACAGCATGCATCTCTAATAGATCCATAATTTTTCTATAGTATTCTGTTTATACATGAAAGAGTATCTGCACGCCTGGTGGACAGCAAGGAGGAGGACGCTACTTGGAGATATGGACGCTACTTTTATTTTTAAGAGTCAAAGTGCATCCGAGACAGAAACAGCTGCTGACACAAATACTGCTAACGCTACATCAGCTCAGTACAAGCATCTGCACTCACAGCACGCTAACACAAAGGTATCAAAGACCCCTAAGTGACATCAATATTGAGTGCACACAACCCAGCAGCCAAAGCCTTCTGCAGGTAACAGTAGCTGTGATGAGCATTCAGACATGTAGCATTGTAACTTCTCTTTTATACCTGCACGTGTTTCTGCAGGAGAATCACTCCGATGATCACTTTTAACTTGCCTTGCTTTGTGTAGTGGGCTTTTTTCACACTTAAAAAAGAAAGCCATCGTGTATGTCGTCATTTAAGTACTGATTTGTGTCAGCGTGTGGAATGCAGGTTAACACTATTAACCGGTATTTATGTGGCAATGCATTTTAGGTCATGTTACATGAAAGTAAGAGTAGTGTAAGAAATTACTTAAATTAATTAAATCACGTACTGCATTAGTTTTAAGAAAAGAAGCGAGTAATGTGTGATGCATGAGTTTTTGTTTAGTATTGACCCCAACACTGTATACGACACATTAGTGCAAATTTAAAATGCTGACATTCCAATCCATTGCCTACTTACAGAAAGATAAGTAATATATTACAGTCAACATATTATTTTAATATTAAACTTAAGTTAAATGTTAATAAGCTAAAACTAGCTTATTTTGGTGTCTTGACAGTCACTTAATATTTAGTAAGCTAAAAATAGGGTTAGCTTATTCTGAACTAGCAAATTTAGCATGTTCAGGGAATCATGAAATATCACAACTCATTATTCCATGTTGTTAATTTTTGTAATTTCTTTCATTTAAATGTAAAAAAAAAAGCACAGAAACTGGACTTTTATATAGATATGGGGTCAGAACCCATAGTTAGAATGCCAGAATCAGTATGGTGGAGATGGGATCTGTGTTCATATAAAAAATATTGAATTTATCCAACAGTTACTTGTCTATCCTATCTTGTAGGTACACGAGACAGGACAGACAACTTAGTGATGTACAGTAATGGTTACTAATCAGTGGCACAAACAGTAAAACCTAGGACCCCAAGTTCCATATTGAATCAAGTTAATCGATTTATAACCATCTGACTGACCTTCACTGGTAGTCCCTCACTAGGAATGGTCATGTTTTTGGGGATCCTGCAGGTTATCTCATTATCCAGGACTTTAGCACCACAATCAACACCTGCCACCGTCATAATGATGGTCATGCAGGAGCTCACCAGGTTCAGCTTTTGGTGCTAAGAACAGGATCAAAACGTGTGATATTTAAAATTTCCAATAAATTTCACACATTTGAATTGATTTAAGTAAGAATGAAGTAACACAACAGCTTACATGTAGTGACACCTCATCAAACCCAGGGTACAAATTTAGAACATGTCCTTCTGTTTCAAAAGGTATGGGCTCGCCGTAGGGGTGATAGGAGAACTCTTTGCTCCACAGGCTTGATGCTCCATCCATATCAAAAGATAGCGATCCTTCCACAGTTTCATCCCTGTGGAAAACAGGGGTCAAGCATTCCATCCGTGTGGGTAAAGACTTGCCGAGGCACTCCTGAAACAAAACAGTGTAATAAAATTTTAATGCTTGTTCTATACAGTAAAATATAAGCACATCACCCAGAGAAGCAATAGAGAAACTCTATAATTTAATACACTGCTCAAAAAAATACTAAAAACATATCGGATCTCAAAAGGAGAAAAATCATGTTGGATATTTATAATGACATGGACTGGGTAATGTGTTAGGAATGAAAGGATGTCGCAGCATTTTGTGGGCATAAAAATTATCAGAGTTAAAATACAGAGAGTTGAATTCAAAGACACCCTGAAAAAAAGATGCAGCAGAATAGTCCTTTTTGCAAAAGAAATGTCATTGCAGCAACTCAAAATGTTCCTCAGTTGTTTGCGTGGCCCGCACATGCTTTTACGCATGCCTGACAATGTTGTGGAATACTCGGTATCCGGGAGGTATCTCTTTCCAGATCTAGACAAAGCCTGTACAGCCTGAAGTGCAACCTGGTGGCTCTGGATGGACTTGAAATATAATTTCCCAGAAGTGTCCTATGGGGACCAGTTGGTGTCAGTTCCTTCATCCTTAGGAACTGCGTGACCTGGAAACCTTCACTGACTGACTGCTAAACCAGCCATGCTAAACTACAGTGGGGCAAAAAAGTATTTAGTCAGCCACCGATTGTGAAAGTTCCCCCACTTAAAATGATGACAGAGGTCAGTAATTTGCACCAGAGGTACACTTCAACTGTGAGAGACAGAATG